GAGCCGAAGGGGTATTGAGGCCAATCCCGAGAAGATCCAAGCCATCATCAACATGGAGCCCCCACGCAATGTAAAGGAGGTTCAACGGTTGACGGGCCGCCTGGCAGCCCTCAACCGCTTTCTGTCTAAATAAGCGGAGAGGTCTTTACCCTTCTTCCAGATCATGAGGAAGACGGCTGGTTTCCAATGGACTTCAGAATGCCAGGAGGCTTTCGACGAACTCAAACGGTATCTATCTTCACCCCCTGTGCTCTCCAAACCCAAGGTAGGGGAGACGGCGTCCAACATGTCATCTTCTATGTAAGCAAGACCCTAAGGGAGGCCGAGCTCAGGTACTCCCCTGTGGAAAAGACGGTGTTAGCCATCGTTTGGACCGTCAAGAAGTTGGGCCACTACTTTCAGGCCCACCCGGTTCAGGTCCTCACTCATCAACCCCTCGGCGCCCTCATGAGGAGCCCCACCAGCTCCTCCCGCATGGTGAAATGGGCTATCTTCTTGAGCCAATACAACATTGACATCCGCCCAAAGCCTGCCATCAAGGGCCAAGCCCTGGCGGACTTTGTGACGGAGTGTACCGCAAGGGCAGCCACGGACGAGGAGCCCTCGTCTACCTCGGACGACTGGTGGACCCTCTACACCGACGGCTCCTCCGCAACTAAAGCATGCGGGGGAGGGGTAGTCCTCGTTACTCCCGAGGGATTCAAGGCCTACTATGCAATCCGCTTCTCCTTCAAGGTCTCCAACAACGAGGCCGAGTATGAGGCCCTCCTATGTGGCCTTCGGTTGGCTGCCAACATGAAGGCTCGACAGATCCATATCAAATGCGACTCCAAGTTAGTCGTTGGCCAAATCTCCGAAGAGTATGAGGCCAAGGAGGGAAGAATGAAACAGTACAAGGAGGCGGCCAAGGAGTTGCTTAAGGTATTTGAGGCACACTCTCTCACTCAAATACCGAGGGCTCAGAACTCCAAGGCCGACATACTATCTAAGCTCTCGGCCGAATCCCCCGAGCACATCTCTAAGATTGCCAAAATTGAGGAACTCAGTCTCTCAAGTATCCATGCGAGCCCCATCATGAACATACAACAACGTCAAGAGGACTGGATCTCGGATATCATCACCTTCATCTCCACAGGGCAACTACCCGAGAATGAGACCCGCGCTAAACTAGCAAAGCTGAGGGCTCCTAGCTACACCATCGAAGACGGAAGGCTCTACAAACGGTCTTACAACGGCACGCTACTTCGGTGCCTTCATCAAGATGAAGCCGAGGTCGCAATGGAGGAAGTGCATAGTGGCATTTGCTCAGCTCACCAGGGACCCTTCTCCATGTCCCGAAGGCTCATTCTCCAGGGCTACTTCTGGCCAACCATGGCCAGGGATTGTGCTGACCTTGCCCAAAGATGCCCCGCCTGCCAACATTTCCAGAAAGCCCCCGGCAGGCTAGCGGTCAACTATGCCCCCATCAGCACATCAATACCCTTCGCTCGATGGGGCATAGACCTTGTGGGCCCTCTGCCGAGGGGTACCTCCAACAACAGGTACATCATTGTCGCCATCGACTACTTTACCAAGTGGGTGGAGGCAGAGCCCCTCGCCAGCATCACAGAAGCAAAGTGCCGTCACTTCGTCCTCAAGAACATCCTCACAAGGTTTGGCGTCCCCCAGCAGATCATCTCCAACAACGGAACACAATTTGAGGCAGCCCCCTTTTGTGCCCTCCTGGAGGCATGGGGCATCAAACACACCTTCTCCTCCGTTTCCTACCCTCAAGGCAACGGGCAAGTAGAGAACGCCAACCGGATCTTGCTCGAGGGTCTGAAAAAGAAGCTGGAGGCCGAGGGCGGTGGCTGGGTAGAAGAACTCCACAACATCCTTTGGGCCTACCGCACCACCCCTCGGCGAGCAACAGGTGAAACACCTTTCTCCCTCTGCTACGGGTTTGAAGCCAAAGCTCCCCACGGAAGTCACCCTTCCTACCCGGAGGGTGATCCAATATGACCCCGAGGTCAACGACAACAACATGGCCCTCGACCTCCACCTCCTTTCAGAACGCCGGGAGCAAGCTTTCATCCGGGCAGAAAACTACCGAAGGCAAGTCAAAGGCTACATCGACGCCAAGGTTCACACCAGAGAATTCCAAGTGGGGGACTATGTCCTCCGGAGGAGGGAAGCCAGCCAACCGACCGAGGGAGGCAAAATGGCACCAAAGTTCGAAGGCCCCTACATCATAGCAGCCATCATCAAACCTGGGACTTACAAGCTCAAACGCCCCAACGGGAAAGAAGTCCCTAGGCACTGGAATGTACACCACTTAGTTAAATTTTATCAATAATGTAAGAGCGGCCAAGCCCTCATAACTAGTGAATGTACTATCCTACGGCCCAAGGCCTCCAATTTGAAGAATGAAGACACATTCAAGACACCGAGAACAACCACAAGACACTTATGAGCGGCCAAGCCCTCATACCAACTACAGGCCCAAGGCCTCACCACGAGAAGAACCCCCTCTGACACCAAGTGCCGAGGGCGGACACCACCAACACATCCAACAACAGTGAAAACATCAAGTGTTTTCGAACAAGAACCCTCGGTACCAAGTACCGAAGGTGGGAACTCCCATCACCGACAACAAGAAACACCAAGTGTTTCATTTCAAGACCCTTCGGCACCCAGTGCCGGGGGTACACATCTCCACCATCAACATCAAATAGAAGAAGAACACTAAGTGTTCCTACAGAAGACCCCTCGGTACCAAGTACCGGGGGGCTACATGTCGCAACTAACACCAAGTGTTGTTTCTAAAGTCGTACCCCACGAGGACGCATATACCGAAGGCGCCACCATCGGTGCCGACGGCACGTAGTGCCCCCAGCCATTTGCAACTAGTGTGCAAATGAAAACCCTTCCTTGAAACGCTTTCCACGTCACTACCCCCAGGGTATGACAGGCATGAGAAATGCCCAGGATTCGACTTTAAAAAACGGAACGCTTTCCGCGTCATCACCCCAAAGGTATGACAGGCACGAGAAATGCCCAGGATTCGACTTCCAAACCGAAACGCTCCCCGCGCCACCACCCCAAGGGTGTGGCAGGCCACGGACTATGTCTAGCGCCGAAGGGACGACTTTCAAAACTGAGGCGCTTTCCGCGCCATCCCCCGAGGGGAGGCAGGTTACAGACCACCATATCTTGTGCCCAGGAAACGACCCTCGATCCCCTCGGAACTTGGAAGGTTAACCCGACGGAGGAGAGCCATTGGGGTATTCTGATGGTCTCCTGATAGGCCCAGCCTTACCAAGAAACCAAGTTTCTTGATGCCTTCCCTTCACCACCAACCAAAAAAAAAAGAGGGGGTGAAGGGGAGTAGACTCATCGAGAAATCAGTGAGTACAACACTCCGACAAATCACAACATACCGAGGGCTCCCTACGGGAACACCTCCGGTAACTGAAGGCACCTATTTCCCGAAGGTTACTACTCAACAATACAAAGGGATTGGACTGTCTCAAGTACACTAAACGGCTAAGTTCACTTCAAATAAGTGCCGAGGGCACCTACCATCGGTCATCCATTGCTACCGAGGGGTCCTATCCTGTAAAAGGGGATGCAACTGACTAAGGCAGCTCAACGACCCTTCAAGTGAATGCTGAGGGCACCTATATCCCACCAGCATTCACTACAACATCAATGTCCTACAAATTTTCCTAAGACCACACTTTTGAAAAAATGACAACAGCCGGAGGCTCACATATCACCCAACAACCGAAGGCATCTATTACAAACCATCAAAGGCCAACCAAGGGGGATTATTCCAAAATAATGTCGCCCTCGGGGAATCTTAATTGGAAAACACTGATAACCGAAGGCTACACAAGGAAGCAACACTTAGAAAATTTTCTAAGTCCTGAAGATTGAGCCCCCGGCCTGATCAATATTTAAACTGAGGGACCATGATAGCCGAAGGCTACGTGATGTAACAGCACTTAGAAAATTTTCTAAGTCCTACATATTTGGCCCTCGGTCAAATATTCACACATCAGGAAAGGAGGCTACCAGCCGAGGGCTTCCAACGGGGAACTACACTTAGAAATTTTTCTAAGTCCTAAGGATTGGGTTCTCAACCTAATCATCTCACAGCAATTGAACTACAAACACCCGAAGGCCCTATGGTGTGCTACACTTAGAAAAATTTTCTAAGTCCTAAATGCTTTACCCCTTGATGAGCCATCAGCCAGCCGAGGGCGTACCACAAACACCTCACAGTCACCCGAGGGTTCCAACTTCACACATACTGCACTTAGGAAAATTTCCTAAGTCCTACATATTTTGGCCCTCGGTCAACTCTCCATACTGCCCGAGGGGCCATGCGGTTGAAGACGTGGTGAAGCTATACTTAGAAAAAAATTTCTAAGTCATACATACTTTGACCCTCGGTCAAATTCCCATGCTGACCGAGGGCTCCTACTACATACGTGCTACACTTAGAAAAATTTCTAAGTCCCAAAAGATCTTACCCTCGGTGACAAGTTTCTAAGTCCCGAGTCTCCCTGCAACCCGAGGGGTCACACAATTGAAGGCTTGGTGAGACTACACTTAGAAAAAATTTCTAAGTCCTAACTATTGTTGGGCCCTCGGTCATACATCTAGCAGAAGGTGCCCAACTACCGAAGGCTGTGACTGTATTCAAACACTTAGAAGAATTCTCTAAGTCCTAAGCACCTCACCTCCGACCATGGCACGAAGGCTACACGGAACCAGAAGGGAGGATCAGTCGGGGGCCAACAGATGAACAAACACTTAGAAATATTTCTAAGTCCTGAACATTGTGCTCTCGGTAAAACGTTAAAGTGACTAAAGGTTACTGGTAGCCGAGGGCCACAAGAAGCATCGTACTTGGAAGAAAATATTCTAAGTCCTAAACATACATTCAAAGAAGGGCGAGGGCATACATTCAAAAGAAACAACGGCATACATTCGAGAAGAAAATAAATCAAAGAGGACAAGTTAGGTACCAAAACCCGAAGGCGTGTATTCATTCATCAAAGAAAACAAATTCAAACTTACAAAGGGCCGAAGGCCGAGGGCATTCAAACATTCATTACAGAGGGATTGTTCAAAACATGTTAAATTAAGAAATTACATATTAACATTCCCGGGGGCCGTCCCCTCCGCAGGCTTCGAAGTGACCTCTGTGCCGTCCTCAGGTTCGTCACCTTCGGCTTCCTTCATGAGCTCGGTGTCCTCCAGGTCTGGCCTCTCGACATCGGAGGGGAGAGGGACACGGACGTCTGGCTGCAGGGGGGAAGCCCGTATGCCGCCGGGTCGAAATCCTTTGGCTCAATCTTCAAGTGGCGAGCCATCCTCCGGTAGATGAGGGCTTGGGTGAAAAACTCGCCCCCATCATAATATTGTTTACCCTTTCGGGAAACCCACTCCACTCCAGGCCCGTCGCACCACTCGTCGACCGAGGACTCGATGACCGAGGACAGCCATTGCTTGTGCTCCTCAGCTCGCCACCCCCTGCCAAGAACCCAGAGATGGCGTCCCCTCGGGCTCTCTCGACGGCCTCCACCTTAGCGGTCTCGGCCTCCATCTTGACAGCCTCGGCCTCCGTGGCAGCTCTCTCCAGGGCCTCAGCTGCGGACCTTTCAGCCTCTGCCCTGCCCCGATCTGCGGTCTCCGCCCGCAGGGTCATCTACCGAATGCTCTCCTCCAGCATAGCCATCTGCCGGACGACATCGGAATTCTGGTGGACGAGCTCCCGCATCTTGGCGTCCTGCTCGGCCTTGCGAAGGCGCCACTCTTCTAGCCGCCGGGCCTGCGCTCCGAGGGCAAAGCAGGTCTGCAAAAATAAAGGAGTTAGCAGGGCCGAACATGATTTCCTAGCTCAAAGTAAAGAGAAAAAGATAACCATCAAAGACTTACCGTGAGGGAAGACCGGAGGATCCTGTCCTCGAGGGCTTGATCATCATCAGCCCCGAGGGCTACCCTATCGATCTCGAGGGTTATACCTCTCAGAAGCGCCCTCGGGTCAGCCGTGCCATTCATCACGGCCGTACCAACCGGGAGGGAGACCGTCAGGACCTCGGAAGATGGCTCCCGGACACCCCCCGGCACCTTCGCCACCGGCATCTCCTCGTGCACCCCGGAGGCGGGGCAATCATCAACAATGACCACCGGGGGTTTTTTCTTCCCGGCATCCCCGGTCTTGGGCTTTTTGCTCTCGGGAGCCTTGCCCGTGCCTTTCCTCTTGGCAGCGGCAGCTGCTTCAGCATTTGGGGCCGCCGATGGCCCCTCCGGCTTCTTGAAGAAGTCACCGGCGGGTTTTGGGACACCAGCATCCGTCCCCCTCGGGGCCTTGGAGGGTTTTTTCTTCTTCAGATTAGCAAGCCCCTTGACGTTCATCATATTCACTGCGATACCTGCAAAAATAGTGTGGGGTTAAAATCGAGGGGTTACTAACAGATGGCACAAAAATAAACAAACAAACAGATAAACTATGTGCTAAGGTATGGAAACGAGGGTGCCCTCAGCCACTACCTCCGGAGGCTCCCTCAAACACCGGGAACTTCTAATCTGTTTCCCCCAGGAAGCGATACCGCCGGAACCCGAGGGTGTAGAGATCCTCCTCTTTAGTGCACTCCTTAATGGTAATATTTTTGTCCCGGCCCTCCGGGATCGTGGCCAGGATCCTGCCGTCTTTCTCGAGGGCGGCGCTCCTCCTCTTCTCGTGCCTCCTAAACCGGTCACGCAACTCCCTCGGGAAGGGGCTCTCAGTCAGCCTTACGTAGGACCACCGGTCTTTCCACCCTTTGTTCGAGGAGGGCGCCTCAGTGAAGAGCTTGAACAGGGCCACCTGCTGCAAGTTTGCGAAGCCCTCAGCATTGGCATGCCCCCCCCCCCCCCCCCCCGGCACAGATTGAAGCTCTGGAAGAAGAGGTCCAGGCTAGGTGTCACACCCCGGGACTTGCAGATCTGGAGGAAGCTCGTGATGTAGGAATGACTGTTCGGGGTCAGCTGGCAGGGGACCAGACCCACGAACCGGAGGTACTCCCGGAGGAAAGGGTGCAGGGGGAAGCGGAGCCCCATGGACACCGAGAGAACGTGCACCGCAATACAACCCTCGGGAGCCTGGGAGAGGACATCATCTGGACCCGGTGTCACCACGATGGCCGAGGGGCCCACGTGTAGTTGAGTGACGTAGATGTCCGCCGCATCAACCTTCGACCTTATTTCCAAGGCGGCGGTGTTCAGGTAGGAGTACCCCTCGGGCATATCGAGGGGCTTCTCTTGATCTGCAACGCTGCCCTTCTTCTTGGGAGCAGCAACTTTGGCCTTCTTCTTTCCGGGGGCAACCCGGATGGGAACCGCGTTCAGCAGCCGAGAGGTGCTGGCCTCACCGGCACTCCGAGGGGGGAGCACAGCAACGGTGACCCTCGCGCTTTCTCTTTGCGCCTCTTCTTCAGCTGCTTGCCAGGCTAGGGCCAGCTCTTCATCCTCACATTGTTGCTCAAAGCCCTCGGCTTCCACCTCAGCAACGAGGGCTTTCTGCAGCTCCAGGGCGACGGCGGCATCCTGTCCCACCGAAGACTGTGCACTTGAGGACTCCACGTCCGAAAAAACTTCATCCCCCACCGAGGGCGCCCCCGAGATGTCCTGGGAATCACTCTGGGACGACATTTTGGCTCTAGTTCGAGGGCTCGTAGACGCTAGTGTTTTCTAAAAACTCTATCTCCTAGCCTAAGGGCACAAGACAGCTAACTAAAGAGGTGAAGTGCGGGTGGAGAACTGACTTGAGAATAAGAATTTGATCGAGGGCTGCTGTTTCTCTCTCTAGAAAATTTGGCAGAGCTTCGCTATAAGGATTTCGCACAAGAAGAATGACCCTGGCCTTGGGGTATTTATAGGCGCTGGAATCCGGGCATGGGCCTGGAAACCGGGCCTCCGGTTGGACTGCCATCATTACCAACCGAGTTTCCACCCAATCGGTGACGCCCGCCCACGGGCAGCCAACGAGCACGCACCACGTGGCAACCCCCCTCCAACGGCTATATCCGGACGGTACATATTCCAACGGCTATATTTCCAACGGCTATATTCTGGGAGCCCCCGGGTTTTTACTTCACTCCACTTCATCAAGGGGGAGCCCCTGGGTACACTTACCAAGAGACGCTCCCGGTTTGTGCCCCACACAGTACGTAACAGACGCCTTCGGGATCACTCCTTCAGAAGCCCAAGGCTTTATATCAGGCCACCCCTCGGGGATCCCCCCTCAGCGTTGTAAAGGCGGGGTAGCCCCCGGGGAAAATGCCTCATTGACGGATAGCCTACAGCACACAGGCAATGGGAGCCCTCGGATATCCTCATCACAAAATAATCAACAAACAGGGGACCCCCCGGTAACAACTCGACTGCTACCCACATTCATTACGCCCTCGTTCCCCAGATTGAGGAACTCCTCTTCGGCACCTCCCAGGACATCAACAACAAGCCTCCGACTAATCAACGCATGAGCCCTCAGAACAAGGAGAGCCTTCGGCATTACCATCGTTCTCCATTTTGAACCAAGGTTTCACATTTTCGATTCATCGTTGGGGGAATTCGGTGCACTCTTTTTCCCTCATTAGGATTTTTTCCCACAGGGTTTTTCCTAATGAGGTTTTTAACGAGGCATCCCCCCAAAATGAAACGAAAAGCGTCAGCCTTCGGCCCACAACAACAACGCAACTACTTTACTCCTTTTCACCACTTTGCAAGTGCCTCAAGGAGTGGGAGACTGGAGGACCCCCTCGGGAAAAATCACAAAAATTACAAACATGACCCCTCAAGTCCCGACATGTGGGTAACTGAGGGGCTGCCCTTGGCAGAATAAACAAACAGCAAACTACCCACAACTCTACAAGCTACAAACGAAACAACGGCAGAGGACAAACACAATTACTCCTTTTTCCCTCAAGTACCTTTCGGCAAAAGGAGTGAGGGAACCCCCGGCCCACAGACTCCTACTACTCCAATAAAGGCCCAACAGGCCCAGAGAGCACAACAGGCCCAAATCACGGCGCCCAGAGTACCAAGCAGCCCACAAAGCGCACCAGGGGTGCCTTCGGCCCCCTGGCCGAGGGCTCTAACTCTCACAGGAGGGCCAGGACAGCAAAACGAAGTTACTGGGAAAAACAGCAAAAGGCAGTAGCCCTCGGCAACTGGAGCCCTCGGCACCAAGGGGGTCCCCAGTACACGGAGCCCTCGGCTAGTCCTCTACAGCCGAGGGCACCTTTCCCGACATGATATCCGCACCACATGCGTACAGATCACCGTACCCTGTACAACGTCCCATCTAACAGCCGCATTAAATGCGGCCACATGCGGTTGCCAGCGCCAACCAGTTGAGGTGACCCCTCGGCCAATGAACGCTTGACACGTGTCCCTGTCCGGCATTTATTGCTACTATAAATAGCACCCCATTTCCCCATTTGTAACCACGCAATAACACGCTTTAACGCCTCAATACATTCATACTTTTTCTCTCTTGCTTGCTCTGACTTCTCTCTAAGTTACTCCCCGCAGTAACCCCTCGGATAGATACCCCCGGGTACACTATCCATCAGCATTGATATAACATTTAAAAATAAGCATAACCGAGGTATTAAATATGGATATACATAACTTACAAAACGAGTTTTCAAAAATTCAAAAGTTCATTTGTGTATGTTCATTCCTTTTAAACGTTTTACTTATTTGAGTTTAAAATAAATCTCATTTCTAATGTGCTCAGTATTAATATATAAAGAAAAAGAAGGAAGGAAACAACAAATAAAAGAAACGAAAAGAAGAAAAGAAAAAAGACAAAAGAAAAGAAAGTAAAACAATTAGCACGAACACAAAAGTGAATGGCGGCGGAAGAACAAAGAAAAGCAATTGGGAGTGAGGAGCGCGGCCAAAGTAGAAAAATACTACCTCCGTCCCTAAATGTTTGCCTTACTTTTCTAAAACGGATGTCCCAAAATGTTTGTCCTACTTTTTTAAATTCCTTATTTGGTAAACAAAACTATATCAAACAGTGTCAAATAGTGCAAAACAGTGCCAACCAGTGTTGCTACAGTGTCAAACAGTGACATTACAGTGTAAAGTCAAATTCATTTCTTAAAACTTGTGAAGTCAAACTATGACAAACAATGAGGGACGGGGGGAGTAAGAAACTGTGATGATTGAGCGAGGAAGATGATCGACAATTCAAGCTTAAAATTGGTATATATTACAAAAATACGAGATGTACATGTACATCCAGGTGTATCTTACGATTTGCCCAGGAATACTACTTCGAGAAATTTGACTGAAACTTCCCAAAAAAAGTACTCCATCCGTCTCAAATTGAATTGCAAACTTTGACCGACACAAGGATTAATGAATGACAATAAATGATGTTTATTTTTTACACTTTTGTCCATCTTTCTAAAAGTAGATGCCTTTAAGTTAATGGGTAAAAAATAAAAGTAAGGTTAAATTTGTCAATTTATTCTTATTTACATACCTAAAATAGAATGTAAAAAACCATTTTGGTACAACCTAAATAGGAAATTTTGCAAATAACTAGTTTGGTAACGCACGTTGCGCGTTCGTGGTAATGCCCAAGGCTATTGTAGGATATTAATTCCTCAATTTAGTTCGAGTCCATATGAGTAATATGAATACAATATTTGAGTACAAAGTTTGTTATGTATTGATAAAGAATCTTAATCAATAAAGACAATTAATTTAAACTTTAATCTGAGTTTGGCGAATGTGAGTATGATTTTGTCTGATAAAAAAAGCACATTTAAAGACAACTAATTTAAACTTTAACGTGTTAAAGCGAGTTGAAGGAGGAATCCTTACCACTTCATAATGCCCAAACTTAACATACTGTATATGAGAAGTGTTACAAACTATCTTTTAAAATGACAATAAGGGGGTAGTAAAATCTTTATATGTAATTCATGTCGACATTTAAGCAAGGAAACAATAAGCAAATCACAAACTATGGAGAGGGAAAGTGGAACAAAAACTGCCTTTAACTATAAGTAAATGACAATCAATTAATGACAAAATTTCATATGAACATTTTAGCGAACACATAGCAAAAGAAAGGTGGCCGGTCTGCGGTAAGCTTCTCTCCATCCTTTTTGTGTAGCTCCCTTCTTTAAAATAAGTGGCAAGGAATTTTAAAGAAGAAGACATACATATATTCGATTGGCTAAAAATATCAAAAGTTGAGCGTGATATGATTCTAAACATTTTATAATTGCATAACACCCCCATTTAGTCGAATTATAGTACATGTGACTATTGTTTCAATTTTGTCATTCTGATTCATTTTTGAAGAGTTTGATGATACTTTCCCCACTTTTTATATATGGAAGTTGTATAACAGGAATAGCCAAATAATTGAAATTAATACTACGTACATTTTAGAACAATATAAATAAGAGTCACTTAACAATAAAATTTTCTAAAATAATCAGGCTGCATGTGGATAGGTGCTAAAGATGAATGTGTTGATTTTTAAGTTAAAAAAAAATAATCTGTTTTGTAACATCTTCAATTAAAAAAAAACTCTTTTTCAATCAAGCAAAAACATATGATAGATATAATTGTTTGAGCGGCGAGAAACACCATGTTTATAGAAAAGGTATGCAATATGAAACAACCTAAGAGTCCGTTTGGTGACCATGTTTTTCGGCTTATCATGCTTATCAGCCAACATTTTCGGCAAACACGTATCTTTTGATTTCACGCGCTGAATTGTGTATTAATAAGAAAAAGTAGATGATCATTTGAGTTGTTTTTTCATATAATTTTTTCTTTATTTTATTAATAAAATATATTTTAAATAAAAAAAATTCATAAATCAGCAAAATCGGCCAATGCAATCACTTTAGCAAGAATTTCATAAATTTCAGTAGAATCAGCCGATTCAGCTAATTTTGGTGTCACCAAAAGGGTTCTAAATTGAGGAAATTTGCATAACACTACACCGAGATGAATAAGGTTGGTTTTTTAGTTCTATAAAAAGAAAGAGCAGCGTTTTCAAAAGTGCAATGTAACAAAGAGGTTAGTTATTCATACACTTTAAGATTTTATGATATAATATAGAACATTGTTATTAGTAACCATGTTAAATATAAAATAGCATCATATGGATCCTAAAAGTTTCAGCTAAACTAAACTATGAAATCATACAAAAGAAAGAATCAGTCACCATGCTTTCACTCTCTTTTAAGTAATCAATTTTATAAATGAAAAGAACATAATTTGAGCTTCTATTGGTGATGTAATCCGGAAACTTTATGCTAAAACAACAGTGTTTTCGCATTCAAAATGACTCCAAGATTTAGGATATGTAAATATGAATTTTAGGCAATTCTATAAAATTTAGTTCTCGGGCATATATTTTGATTGGCTAAAAATATCAAAAGTTAAGCCTGGTATGATTCTAAGCATTTTATAATTGGCCTAACACCCCATTTTACAATTCTTTACGACATTAGTAATACACAAAGTATGTAGCCAACTATTGGTGGGAAGGAAAAAGAGGTCTGGAGAGTAATTTTACCATATCCTTTACCACAAATGCACAAGAGGTGACCCTCAAGAAATCTTCAATCTCACTACCTGGTGCTGCACCACCTGAAACTATTAGATGAAGTCAGCCACCTGGCCTCCCCTTTACCTATCAATGTGAGAGATACTTAGCATTTTTTTATATGCAAATTTTTTACTGTAAGAACTCATAGGAGAGAACTGCTTTATCATAGTTCAGGGCTTCCTCAAAGTTCAGAGCCCTCCCATGCGTTAGATTTTTTCAGGTACATGCAGTTTAGTTGTAGAGTTCAGCAAAATAATTTATAGAAAACATTTTTCATTGAACTGTTTTCCATAATTTTCCTTTATATAGAAAACCAAAAACTGGGTGTAAACTTCAATTCAAAAGTACTATGTACTACATAATATTTCCCCAAGAAATGAAGAACCAAAACTTTACAGCGAATTAAATCTTTCATAAAATGATAGAGCAACCTGATCATAAGCAAATGAAAAAACGAAGATACTACTAATACCATAGATGGAGTTCATATAAGTATATATCATATCACATCTAGCATAGATCAGCAATATACCAACTATTCCCTCCGTTTCTGAAACAAGTTCCACATTTGACTTCACACATATTAAGAAAATAAATTTGACTTTACTGTGGAGTGCACTGTTTGGCACTGTTTGAACACTGTTTGGCACTGTTTGAACACTATTTGACACTGTTTTGATGTAGATAATTTGCCAAATAAGGAAATGTTTGAAAGTGGAACTTAATTTTAAATCTCCCCGAAAAGGAAAGGTGGAACTTGTTTCAGAAACGGAGGGAGTATTTATATAGGAAATATAAAATACTTTCCATACAACTTTTCATTTGGATGAAACTTACTCAAATCTACTATTCTAATACTCAATTCAGAAGAAGATTGCATCACCAATAGAGAAACAAAATCATCTTTAGTAGATAATGCCATCACCTTCTATTATTCTAATGTTCACTGAAAACTTTTTTTGGCGTATGCTACTTCAATCTTAGTCCATTTGCCAATATTTATTTAAGAATTAACTTAAAACATGGTTTTAAGTTAAATAAATTACACTCCCTTTGAATACACAAGCCTGTTACGTGTAACATCTAAGTTAACAATATACCCAGGGAATTGGAACACAAACCTAGCGGAATTGTAACATCTAATTTATAGAGCATTCCCTACTGCACGATCATTCACTTTTTTTATCCTCCATGAAGTCTAACATATAATATTAGCCGACATCTTTAATGAACCAAGAATAGCACATGTAAAATGAAAAACTGTATGCCTTGGCGTGTAATGAGAGAATTTCACATAAACATTTCATCAAACACATAGCAATCAAACAATATAAGCGGGAGGATGTCAACATGACAGCAAATACAGAAGAAAGAATGGCTAATCACGCAGCAATTTAAATTTGGAAACAACACAGAGATAAAAAAAAGCAGCTGCAGTTGAATATGAACGGAATATATAGTGAATTAGAAGAGAAGAGAGAACTTACAAAATGGCGTGAAGAAATCCAAAAATCTGTTCAATACCATGTGCCAAATAGTTTTAGGTGGGCAGGCCATGACTCTCGAGTATCCAGGGCCTGTGAGTATCCAAATGACGAGTTGACAACCATGGTTGGGTACTTGGGCGCAGGACTTTGTTGACAACCATGGTTGGGCGCAGAACTCTGTGAACGGAAAAGAAGAGGGACGGACGGGAGGAAGGAGGGCTTAAGGAAAGGAAGACATAGCAGGGGCTTAACGGCAGAGCTGACTTCCTTGGCCCCTTATTTGCCGTATAACGACTACAACCTTGATTAAACATGCACGGAGTACAATCAGCTAGAGCATGAGTAGACACGAACATTTTTTAGTAGATCATTCTACCCTTTGACAATATTCATGCTTATAAGAGAAAGTATATAAGAGAAGTATAGATAGATAGAAATGGGAGGGAGTAGTTTGATGGAAACAAAATTGACTACAAGAAGTTTGAAAAGAAACCGACTAGCAAAATCGGGAACAAAATTCTAAGCCGGCAAAATCTAAAAGATCGGCGAAAGAAAAGAGACAGGGGAAAGAAATTAAAGAAGAAGAAAAAGAAGAATAGAGTCCAGCAACTACTTGGGCAAAGACCAGCGGCAAGCCATCCGGAGACGAGCTGTGGTTGACTGGCAGTGAAAACCGCACATCTCGAATGGGTACTGTTTGGTTGTATACCTAGGTATTGAGATAGTGCTTATCAGATAGTTGTTGTTAGATAATTTCGCATGTAGCGTGTAGCGTGAGCTCCAATTAGTTAGCTGCATCAATTGTATATATGGGCATGGCTCTCCCATCGTGGAACATACAGATTAATAATAATATTTCTTCCATATGTGACTCCTTTTTCATGGTATCAGGGCAGTAACATCCCGGGCTGCTTCTTTACGATAAATACGACCCTATGACTGGAGAAACAGGCGGAAGTGACGAAAACCGGAACCACGAATGACGATGACGAATTGACGATGCTCCCATGCATAAACCAAGTTTTACCAATGAAGAGTGGGAGAGTCTGCTGCAAATGATGGAGAAATGTAGGGCAGGGACTTCCGAGGAAAAACTCTCAAGTACGAAAATTAATAATGCATGGCTCCTGGACTCCGGTGCATCATACCACATGATGGGGAATAAACAATTCCAGGAGAAGATGTACAAACTGGATCCAATTTCGGTACAATTACCTAATGGTGAAACAGTTTGTGCGACGTACAATGGTGATGTGAGGATCAGTGCACAATTGAAACTAGAAAACGTGTTGTTGGTTCCAGGATTGCAATGCAATCTCATATCTTTAGCACAATTAATTGATCAACGGAAATGTGATGTATTTTTTACTAATGATATATTTATGTGTGATACAGGACCTACTTTTGAGGACGCCGATTGGAGTGGGTGATCGACGTGGGGGAGTTTATTATTTCCGGAGTCTTGATCATGCTAAAGCACATACAGTGGCAACGTTGGACTCAGGTGACTTGTGGCACTCTCGATTGGGACATCCATCACTGAAAGTTTTACGTTCAATTAATTATTTGGATAAAACATTGTTGAAGTCTACTCAAAATAAAGTTTGTGATGCTTGTTTACGTGGAAAACAAACTCGTGACGTTTTTGATATTAGTGGTGCACGTGCTGTTGAACCATTTGAATCGATCCATTGTGATATTTGGGGTCCGTATCGCATACCGGCTACGGACGGTGCACGTTATTTTCTTACAATTGTTGACGATTATTCTAGAGCTGTGTGGGTGCATTTGATGCGAGACAAAAGTGAGGTAAAAAATATTCTTAAGCAGTTCCTTGTCATGACTTTTCGGCAATTTAACAAAAATGTGAAAGTATTGAGAAGTGACAATGGTAAAGAATTTACTAGTTTAAAGGAATATCTTTTGGGCCTTGGAATAATTTTCCAAACATCGTGTTTGTATACCCCACAACAGAATGGTAGAGTTGAGAGGAAGCATAGGCATATACTAGACGTAGCATGAACTCTCAGGTTCCATGCAAATTTGCCTATTAAATTTTAGGGTGAATGTGTGTTGGCTGCAGGATATTTGATCAATAGAGTACCATCCTTTGTGATAGGAAATAAAAGTCCTTATCAATTGTTGTATAACAAGGCACCTTTATATAATCATCTTAAAGTATTTGGATGTTTATGTTATGCACACACTCTCGATAAAACAGGAGACAAGTTTGCACCACGGGGTATAAGGTGTGTGTTTTTGGGTTATGTTTATACACAAAAGGGTTGGAAGATGTATGATTTGGAAAGTCATAGGCATTTTGTTTCTCGTGACGTGAAATTTGTTGAGACTTGCTTTCCATTCAAATTGACGGAACGTAGTCAAGAATGTGACAAAATGTTGCCGGATGAACACAACTTGCCCACTAGCAAGAGGATGCACTCACTTGAGAATCATCTACGAAGGTATGGCATTGATGATTCAAATCCATGCACCTCCACATGGCAGGATTCGTTTTCACCAAATGTCCAGGGGATTGAAACATTTGAAGACATGGAAACGCACAACATCACTCCTAACAGCATGACCATGCAGGAAGAAAGTGATCCAACCTTGACAGCGGAGCATGAGATTGGTCCCACTGTCACGGATACTCCTACGATGAATGAAGTCAACCAGAGCAGAAGGGGGACTCGACAACGCCAACGGCCAGCCTGGCATCAAGACTACGATGTGGAATTGAATACCATAAAAATAAACTCTCCCCCCGTCGTCCGGTCACCTCAGTCGGTTGAATCAGGTAATCCATATTCCATAACTCATTATGTAAATTATAATCATTTTTCGGTTGCGCACCGTGCTTTTCTTGCAGCTATATCAGCCACTAAAGAACCATCTAGTTTTGGCGAAGCTGTACGTGATCCAAAGTGGAGAGAAGCTATGAAGCAGGAAATAACAGCTCTAGAACGAACGGGAATTCTCCTATATCTTGGCGCACCAAGAAACAAGCAACGGTCTCTCGTTCCTCGACAGAAGCTGAATACCGCTCCATGGCCGCTTTAACCTGTGAACTTATTTGGCTGCGGAACTTGCTTCGTTCTTTGGGTGTCACGCATTCCTCCCCAGTCCGTCTTTATTGTGACAATCAAGCCGTTTTGCACATTGCTTCCAATCCGGTGTATCATGAGCGGACCAAGCATATTGAACTCGATTGCCATTTTATTCGGGATTATATCCACGCAGGCACTATTACTGCTTCTCATGTCTCTACCACTGAGCAACCTGCCGATTTGTTGACTAAAGCACCTGGAGTCAATCAATTCGCTTATTTATTGTCCAAGATGGGCATTTGTGACCCCCATGCTCCATCTTGATGGGGGTGTTGCTACATATATTTAATGTTACATTTTATTTGTTTGTCACATTTTTTCCTTGTACATACGTAGGTATTGAGATAGTGCTTATCAGATTGTTGTTGTTAGATAATTTCGCATGTAGCGTGTAGCGTGAGCTCCAATTAGTTAGTTGCATCAATTGTATATATGGGCATGGCTCTCCCATCGTGGAGCATACAGATTAATAATAATATTTTTCCATACGTGACTCCTTTTTCAGGTACCGACCAGAAAAATTATTCCAGGTGTTTTCCAATGGACTTCCTCTATGACGCCAAAGTTAGTCCTATTTAGGGTTTAAAAAGTTTTTGAGTCCCTAATTAGATTCACAACACCAGTTATAGTCGTATTCAAGTCTTCAATTTAGATGAAAGTGAGTAATTACAAGAGAGCATTCTCCTAATGGGACTAAAACATCTGATAAATGTAAAACTAGGACTCCTATGTTTAAAATGTAAAATTAGGACTACAAATTACCTAACTGGACAAAAATACCCTTAATGATTATCGATCTCAATACATAAACAGCAGACTAGCAAGCGGCAGACTAGCATCGGCAGACTAGCATCGGAGGAACCTGTAATTTAAGGAGGATACATCTGGTCCATACCAGAGCACCAGGTAATCTTTTCTTCCTCTTTCCCTTCTTCTTCATTCTCCTTCTTCCTTCCTCTTTCTTCTTCGATCGTCTTCCTCCTCTTCTTCTCATCTTCTTCTATCAGATCCTTGTTTCTTCGTTTTTCAATTTTTGTTTATTGTTAATTCATTTACTATTTCAGATGATGAATCAAAATACTATTTTGGATATGAAAACTTGAGATTTGGATTTGGGTTTTTATTACTCAATATTTTAATGACATGTTTTTTGACTGGATTGCCAAATGTTGTCATTTTTAGCAATATTATTTTCGAAAATGTCATGATGATGGAAGTTTCATATAAAAACATGACATTCTCAGTAGTTATGTCATTAGCAGATGAGCAATAAAAATGCCATAAAATGACATAAGAATGACATTTTCTTATGAACATATGACATTTTCAAATTGTCATCCTGATAAATATACTGCCACAAATGTGGCAGTTGTTCAAATAACCAATCATTTTGACATTCTCAGATTATAAAAGTGGCATTTTGATGAATAAATATAATTCAAATAAAAAAAAAACCAAATTAATATATAAAATTGAAATCCAAAAAATTCAAAGAAGAAGAGAACATATGACCAAAAATTTGAAGAGAATTAGAAGAAGAAGAAGAAGAAGAAGAAGAAGAAGAAGAAGAAGAAGAAGAGGAAGAAGAAGAGGAAGAAGAGGAAGAGGAGGAGGAGGAGGAGGAGGAGGAGGAGAGGAGGATACCTGTAATTGTTGGAGGAACCTGAAGCGGCTTCGTTTGGGAGAGCTACGATTGATTTCGCCGATGGGAAGCTTTGATCTGCAGAGCGATGGTGTCGATGGGAGAAACGTAAGAGGTGGGGGTCTAGGGCGGAAGAAATAGCAGAACAAAGAGGGAGAAGTTGAGTTTAATAAGAAGAAGGGTAAAATTGTAATGTGGGGTCCTATTTAGGGAATAAAAAACTTAAAGTCTCGTTTAAAAATTTAATCCATCTTTTAGTCTCATTTTGAACAAATATTTCTAATTACAACAAAACTTGCAAAACAAGGATGTAAGACAAAATCAAGATGTTAGCAAAGCACAACAATGCTCTGTTGGAGAGGCTCTCATGCTCCAGTCGGAATAATGGAATCTGACAAGAACATTTGCTAATTTGGAACATGAACTTTCCCGCGTTCTCCTCCCCTACGACCGCAATTTCTCAGCCCCCGCCGCCTCAGCTTACACCTCCGTGCCATCCACAACAAAATCATGAATCCACTGCATGGTGGACCTCCAAAATATCTCGTTGCTGCCGCGTTGGGCGCTTAGGAGATGCAGTTAACCAGTTCACCCGCATGAGGCTCTCCGGTGTCGAGCCAAACCACGCCACCTTCCTTACTCTTCTTTCCTGCTGCGCTCACTATCCATCCCAGTTTCGGCATTTCGGAGCTTCTGTTCACGCTTATGCTCGGAAACTCGGCCTGGATACTCAAAATATCAAAGTGGGTACTGCTCTTATTTCCATGTACTCAAAGTTTGTAGAATTGGGTTTTGCGAGGCTGGTCTTTGATCATATGACTGCCAGGAATAGGGTCACTTGGAACACCATGATTGATGGGTACATTAGAAATGCCATGTTTGAGGAAGCAATTGAGCTGTTCGATGAAATGCCTGACAGGAACGTTGTTTCTTGGACTGCAATGGTAGGTGGGTTTGCGAAGCACAGCCGTTTCCAAGAGGCTCTAGAGTGGTTTCAGGATATGCTCTCATCTGGAGTGGAACCTGATTATGTGACCCTGATACCCG